TATTAAAGAATTTTAATATTTTTTATGTGTGATTATTTATTATAATATGAGATAAAAAAATAACCTAATTATAATTATAATATAATTAAAAAATAATTTAAAAATATTATTTTTTAAAAAAAATAAAAAATAAAAAAAATTGACAGGTACGGATATACCCGATACCCGACGGGGACGGGGATGGAAATAAAAATCACATACTCGACAAGTACGGGTACACGGACGGGGATGAATTTAGCTCGCAGGAACGGGTACGGGTATCATGAAACCCGTACCCGCCCTGCCCCGCCCCGTTACCATCCCTAGTCTCAAATCAAAAGTTGGGGTTTATATTTTCCGGCCGGCCGGAGAAATCAAAAGCGTGCGTGGTCCACAATTTTATGTCAAAGGTTCCTATTTTGCTAGTTATGGAAATGCTGTCAAATATTGGTTTGTTGAAGCATTTATGTCCCATGAGATTCAAAACATACATCTATTCGACTTCGTCTTTTTGAAGCATCCATGACCACGAGGGTCACTATCTCTACCTACAGATAAGTTGAAAAAGGAACAGCTGAACATTACACTTATGATCTATCTAAACATGGACGGTTAGGTGGGTTCACGTACGGTCTAGGATATTTAGTCTAATTATGCCTTTTTTGTCAATGTTATTGAATTTAAAGAGAAAAGTCATATATTTCTTTAGAGTATCTACAATGAGAGTTGCTTATAAGTAACTTTCAACCATTTTAAATGGGTTCTACTGTACCATGTCACTTATAAGCAACTTATATTATATTTTTATAATTTTTGCTCTAATAGAAATTGTTTATAAGCACTCCTACTTTTTTACAACTCATACTACACTTTTTGACACCTCACACTACATTTTATGATAAATTTTTATAAAATTAATTATTATGGATAATATATAAATATGAATAACAAACAAAAGAATTACCAAAAATTACAACAAAATTAAATATAAAAATTAAATACGCACTAATAAAATTACAAAACAATATAAATTCAATTACAATAAAACTAGTCTAATTTGCTTAAATTAAAATTATAATAATATTTATTCTCCTATACTTAATAAAATTACAAACATTGATATGTCGTGTATTGAATTGTTATGCCCAGGCAATTTATATATATACATATATATATATAGGGCCTTTCAAAATATATTACTCATATAGAACTTTTTTGATTTGGTTAAGTGTCAAATTATCAATAACAACAGCTAATTTTATGTCATTTATAATTTATTTTTATTTTTAAAATAAAAAAAAATAAAAAAAGTCTCATATAACAAAACATAACACATGAAATTTTATAGTCAAAATGATAATTATGTTAGCAGTTAATAATTCTCGACAAGTCTCCCATAATAGGTCATGACAACTTGTTTCAATTATAATAAAATAAAATAAAATATGATTTTAATATTTAAAATTTTGTCAAATTTTGTTTTTAATTTTTAAACAAATTTTATTTAATTTTAATCATAAATTTTTTTTTTCATGTTTTAATACTACGAATCAAAATGTTAATAGAAGAAAAAATTTCAAACACTATAACCATCCCTTCACTCTCCCTAACTTTCCTCTTTTCTCTTTTTTCTTCTCATTTTTCTCCCTCTCTTTCAACTTCAAGACTGCACCTTTCTCTTCCCTCCAAGCCCTTCACCGAAGCTCGCCTCTCCGCACCCCAGAGGAACAAACACTCGCTGATTGTCTCCGCCGCCACCGTCGAGGGTGAGGCTTCTAGCACGGAGGAGGAAGGGCTTCCTCAGTCGGCGGATAAGCTTTCGCTAGAGTCGAAGGTGAAGGAATGGGAGGAGTAGAGGTAGGGATGAGAAATGTACCCGTACCCACGGGTAATACTTGAACCCGTCCCAACTTTGACGAGGAATACCCAGTTTGACCGAGTACGGGTATGGGTAAAACCCGATACTTTAAATCGGGTACGGGTACAGGTATTTCTTATCTTAAACTTTTATGACATCATGTGATTTAAGTATGTTATTTAGAGATGTACCTATGCTATCAAGTTGATCTTAATTTTATTAGAAAGTTAAGATAATTATCTAAACTTTTATGTTGACCTCAAAAGTTAATTCTATCAACTACTATTTTTAAAAATTACAAAACTATAGTATTTAAGCTTAACTTTGACAACTTGACTTTTATTAACTAATTGGATCATAATTTGAGTTCTATACATCTTTTTTGGGTGATTCCGACATCATTGAAAAGTTAACATCCAAGTCTACAAATCTTTATAAATACCACAAAACTTAATTTGGTCATCTAATAGTCCTCGCAATGCTTATAAGTTTCAAACGTTACATTTTGTGTATAGAATTTGATACTCATCTTGTAACTCAAATAATTCAATTTTTTTAACATTTTTATGTAATTCTTAAGTCTAAACTATAGTCCTAAATGTTTATTTTCTAATCCAACAAATGAATCTATTTGGTTAATCATGTTGAGAGAAATCAGCTAAACACTATGATATATTCATACTAGAAACTTCAAAATTAAACAAATTACATCAAAACTTTCAAATCATAACCCCCAATATATCTATGCACATCCTTTTACTTCAATTCATCATGCATCGATCAATTATATTATCCACACTCAAATAATAATAATAATATACTCTCAAATCATGCAACTCATTCAATCCATCAAACTTCTCAAGTTCATACATATTATATCCTAATCTATAAATACATTAATTTATACCAACAATTCAATCCAATGTCAATTAACACTCAAATTCATATAGTATAAGATAATAAAACATTAATTCCTTCTTAAGCAGTCACATAGATCAAATTTAACAATTTATTGGGCTTAGAGATCACCCATTTACCCTTATGCCTCATATATGTCCAACGGATTCAACAATATCACTCTCCCTACCTAGAGTGAAGATTTCGTAGAACAACTTATTACTTCCTATAGCTTTGGTCACTAATCCATGCCTTCCCCAGTGGTCTCCTTTAGGTTTCCTTCTACGAGTGCTCTAAATTTTAGAAGATGCGCATAATAACTAGGGGTGAGCAACGGGTGGGTTTGGTCGGGTTCGGGTGAAAAATGTCCAACTCGTTGTAAACCGACTTTGAAAAAATGTGACCCATATCCGACCGACTGAGCTTTCGATTTGAGGCGGTTCGGGTTGAAACGGATTCGGATTTAAGCGGGTGGGTATAATCGGGTTTGAATTTTTTTGTAGACCAATTTATCTTAACGAAGATGAAGCTTAAAACGATAAAAAATATTTTTAAAATAGTGTATAAAAATAGAATGAAGGTGACAATAGATGGTGTAAATAGATTCGTAGTTGAAACATTTACAAACTAAAGAAGCAAAAATAAAAGATAACAAAATTCATAGTTGTTACATGGAAAAGAAATATAAAGTTAGATTACAAAACCATAAGAAATCACAGTCACACAAAATGTACTCAAAATGGAGATAAGAAGATGGAAAAGAAAGACAAAGAAAGAAGCAAAAAGATAACTCTAAAAATGGACTAGTGTGTTGAGAAGTTGAATGAGGAAGGAGAAGACAAAATAAATATCTAAGTTATGAGAAAAAGGAAAAAAATAAGTTACAAATTGATGGCTATATTATACTTGAAATAAAGACTTTTAAATTTGGACCATTGTTGTTTAGTTATACAAAAGTAATAAAAATTTAAACTTATCTCATTTTCGGTTGGGTTCGGCGAGAGAAAAAGAAAAATGAAAGGTAAATGGTTGTACATTCTTATCTTATCAATTGAAATCCTTGGTCTTAGAATTAAACTTTCATAAATGATTCATGGTATCAAGTGTGGTCTACACCGGGATTTCCATGCTTCGACTTTTCTTCCCTTCGTGTGGCAGTTATAGAAACATAATAAACAATGGTGAACAACCCATGTATGAAACATAAAATCCCTCCAATCGATAGAAACCGACGGTTTGATACCCCGCACGATTCTCTTGATCTTGAGTTGGCTAAGGTACCTAGAATCAGCAAGGAGAATGCAACTGCTAATACGATCCTGCAATGAACACCAATAATTAGCAACTAAACACATCAAATTCTATTCTATTTATGCCATGATTTGGTAAATAATAAGCTCAACTTGTGGCCAAATTGATAGAATTAATGACCATATATCAAACATGGATCAAAATGCAAACCAGAGAACAAAGCCTCGTGTCACGAGGATCTGGGTTATTCCTTTATTGATTTTATTTTATGAGAAAAAAAAACATTTCACCTTGTATTTTTTTTTACAAAATTTAGTTACAATTTCTTATATACTCTTCTTCAATTAAAATTTGAGGCTTACTTTAATAACCCATATTGATTTTTTATACAAATTTTTATTACACAAATTATTAGAATAAAATTTTAATTCTAATAATTAGGAATTAACACTTAAAAATACTTAAAGAACTAAGTCTAAGTTTTACTCTTCATACCAAAATAATGACACTAACATGTTGGAAGTGACCGCAAATTCTGAACAACGCATAAATTAATATGTCATATAGAAACTAGATATGACATGTATATTTGAAGCACCAATCAAGAGAAAAGATACATGTTTGAGAAAGACGTACCAAGAGAAAATGAGAAAAGCCACTGCTAATTGTCTATTAGCCGTGGCACTTTGGCATTCTTCTTTGGACCTCATGCAAATGCACCCACCAAGCAAGTGAGCAATTGCATGAGCAAAGGCCAAGAGAATGGAAGCAGCCAGTCCTAGCTTGAAGGCTTCATAGCTTGGGTCCCTACACTCAAACACCCACACCTTCAAATCCTTCACCTGTTTAATTTCATCCCAAACACACGTTAATTAATTAATGTTCTCAACAATATTGAGGCACACATGTTTAGACTTAAGAGTACCTTGTTTTGAGCTATTTCTGCTTGAATTCCAAGTATGCCAGCAACAATGTCCAAGACCAAGACAAGAATGCAGACAAGGAAGCCATAGTTTTTGGCCATTCTCACAAGACAATAATGTTGTTAATTAGTTCGATACCTTGTTCATAACTCCTTACTTAATAGTGGAGCAATGTCATATCTAATCTAATAGAGGAATAAGAATAAAGGTTGGGCCAGGTTTGCTGCGTATTATCATACATGAGAGAAATTAGCTGTGATCTATGGCTAAAAGCTGCTTTCCCTTCACAGTTAACTTTTTTCTTTGTTTTTCTTTCCCTTTCTAATATTCCTTCCATGAGGGACACGGAAAGCAGTGTTTCTCCACCAAGGAAAGGTCACATTCATCTGTTTGGACTTTGGATAATGGTCGTGAAAAATGGAGCCAGTAATAGTATATTACTGAGGAGCCTCCCAACATTTCATTAATCAAAAGATGATAAATGCAACCGAAACTGCTCTAAAATATTGTTTCATCATAATGAATTGATATATAATTAATTCTTCACCTCACATATCTTAGGAAACTAAAGATTAAGAAAGAATAGTCTTTGCTTTGCCCAGTATTGTCCAGAATTTTAAATTTCAGTAATTTGTAGCTGTGATATTATACTGTCAGTAGTCTCTTCAACTTTTTTAATAATAAATATTCTATTATATTAAATAGAAATAATTAAAGAGATTTTTTTTTATAATTGACTAAGAAATTATGAAAATAAATTATCTTTATTGACGTGGTGTGACAAAAATTTTAAGATTGAAATTTATATTTAAATTAGGATTAATTGATAATGTTTTAATTTTTTTAAATATATATTTTGTTTCAATTGATTTGAAAGGAAACAATATTTGAAAAAATTAAAAATTGTAAGTAAAAAGTGAATTAAAATTTTAATACAGTAACAAGCACGTGGTTTTATAAGAACAAATTAAAAAATAAAATAAAAACTTTTCGTTTTCTTTTACTGAAAAAACTTTTCATTCATGAATGCGGCCTCACAGTTATAAATTATAATATAAGAATACGTACGCGAGAAGAAGAATGAGAATGATTGTTTGAGCTTTGAACATTGAATTTCATTTTCTTTTATAAATGATTTTCATTCCTTGTATGTAATTTTTGCATAAATTCTCCAATATTAAGATAACTGATACTACTAAATTTTAACTTCTTCCTATGTCAATGCTAAACTTCATCCATGTTTTTTTTTAATCTCATGTTGATTAAGATCATTATGAGTTACAATTTTTTTTCTGTGTTTAGCATAATTACATACTAAGGATCGAACTTGACATTATTGGTTAAAGACCCATTTTACTTGGTTACGAGTTTTTATTTTTATTTTTTTAAATGTAATTTTCAAAACAAAAGCATTTATAGCAAAGATGGAGTTAAAATGTTTTATAATTCAATTTCAAAACATTTTTCATTCATTTTCAAAAACCAAGAATAAAGATTTTTAAATTTGGATTTTTAGTTTTAGAAAATAAACTATCTCTACATTTGCCAATGATTCTTTCTGAGAATTGTGTGACATCTTTCTACTCCAAATAATTAAACAAACAGAATTTAAATAATTAAAAATCTTTTGTAAGAAAAATTTTCTAAGCATCAATATAAAATGGTTCATAATTTATTTCAACAACTTTATTAAACAACATATAAAATTCAAATAAGGCACAAACAACCCTTTTAAACAAAATTTCAACAATTAAACAAAAAGAGTTATAGTTCAAATGAAATGCATTAAAATACTAAAATTAATCTTTGCTCAAATGTCACACTAATTAGAGCAAGATCCTTTTTTATGTCTCTACCTCATCAAATACAACTTCTTGTATCTATACTAATCTTGCAAGTTGCATTCATCTCAAATACAAACATATAAACATAGGAAGTGAAAATACATCTAATCCGCACGCAACATAAATAAGGTACAAAGGTAGGCACACACAACTATAACATCATTCACACCTCACACTCATATAAGTATCCTTTTATACAGCTACTATAATCATCTCCATGCATTCATTCATCATTCACACTTAGCAAGTCATACAATATATTTTAATGATAAATTAAGACTCGTGCAATGTATGCTCATAACTCTATTTGTATGTGACACCAATCTCCCCCTCATCATCAAGAATACAAAATAAATAGGAATAATGGAACAAGACAACTCCATCGAATAGTGTAGGGATCATCCATCAATATAGTGATCCCCGAATCACCTCAACTAGGAGATGTTAATCAGGGTGTTATCTAAGTGTTACAGTTGACAATGGTAGCCTCTTATTCTCATTAGAAGTTTCTCCACCATAACACCCCAAGAATACAGGTTGATGGTTTATGATATACTACTTGCATAAATTCACACTATTCAACAAAATAAAGTATGAATGCATGGACACAATACACTTAATACAACAACACCATGCATACTCAACTCTTCGAGTGTCACAACACTAAACTTACTCATCATATTTCATCATCAACATTCCCACAATATACAATAATTCAATTATTCATTTTTCAATTCACAACACTAGACTTATCCATCATATCTCATCACATTACTCATAGTAATTCAACATATCATATATCTATATAACTTTTCATACAACATCATCACACAACATAGCATTATACATTATTATTACTCATACTATTCATTCATCACATATTATAGCATTCATTATTATAACATCATTATCATAACAACTCAATTATAACGTACATCATTATCACCGAACCTTAAACATCATAACATTATGTACTATTATTACTTGTATCACATATAGGCACTTAAAGAATAAAACAACTCACTAATATCACTCATAAATTATCTTTTCTTATCTTAAACTTTTATGACATCATGTGATTTAAGTATGTTATTTAGAGATGTACCTATGCTATCAAGTTGATCTTAATTTTATTAGAAAGTTAAGATAATTATCTAAACTTTTATGTTGACCTCAAAAGTTAATTCTATCAACTACTATTTTTAAAAATTACAAAACTATAGTATTTAAGCTTAACTTTGACAACTTGACTTTTATTAACTAATTGGATCATAATTTGAGTTCTATACATCTTTTTTGGGTGATTTGTTATTTAGAGATGTACCTATGCTATCAAGTTGATCTTAATTTTATTAGAAAGTTAAGATAATTATCTAAACTTTTATGTTGACCTCAAAAGTTAATTCTATCAACTACTATTTTTAAAAATTACAAAACTATTGACGGGCAGAGCCGCGCCCGCGTGAGAGGGTTTCCGCCACCACCATCGTGTGCCCAGCTAGCTTCGCGCGGCCGGCGACGACAACACTCCGCCCGGACGTGCGACGACGACTAAGAACTTGGCCACCGGAAGGAGAACCAGGTGAAGGAAGTTTTTTTCTATTTTTTGGTTTCCAAAACCTCTGCCCATGTTCCACCTTGGATGAATATCAGCCAATCAAACCTCTTTATTTCATATTTTTGAGTGCTAAGCACTGTTGCTTCTCCAAGCAACTGAGCAAAAAATTTAAGAAATTGTCTTGCCAAGTAGGATCACTCTAGTGGGAGTTTTTTGTAAGCACTGATGCTTATTCTTAAGATACACAATAAGCACCCCCTATTGGAGGTGCTCTAAGGAAACTCATTGAATTGGGATCGGTAGAGCTTTAAAGTGTTGCAAATTTATCCCGTGTTTTATTAGTGGACTCTATCAAATCCTTAAGGGAACGTTTGGTAAGAAAGAAGTTTTTAGTTTCCTAAGAATTTTAGATTAAGGATATTTTAGTTTCTCATGTTTAGTATTTATTATATAAAAAAAATTTCTAGGAAATATTATTTTCCAGGAATCATTTTTTTCTTATTCTTCCACAAAAACATTCTTAGAGGGGGTTGTGAAACTAACTTTCCCAATTTTGAGAGAATGTTTTAATTATATAAAAAGTCACAATATCTCTTTTAATATATATATA